GGAAGGAAGGAAGGAAGGAAGGAAGGAAGGAAGGAAGGAAGGAAGGAAGGAAGGAAGGAAGGAAGGAAGGGGACATCTAGTAAACCTACCTGAGGATAAATGTAATATTTTGGAGTGGAGATACTTTATTGTTTACCTGATCTAGAGATCCATCCGTGGGAAGAGAAGGGGGATTGAATATAACATTACCATGTGCATGTTCCCTTTTCTAAAACAACCGCGTGTAACTTTTATTATGATTTCAACGGGATATGTAACCAGGGCCGCTCTCTCTGTTACTCTCAGTCATGTTTCTTGGTGATATCAACATGCATGTAGCTGATCCTTCTACTTCTCACAAGTCGTCTCGCTTTTTGAATTCCTCTCCTCCAGTGCTCCTGCTCTCCACCCTTCAGTCACTCAGGCACGTTATCAGATCCTAAGCGCCACCATTATGAACTCTTCCAGCTCCAGAATCTCACAAGCATTCCACTCTCTGATCACCGACTCTTACTTTTCTAGGTGTTGTTTTGTTGTTTGGCTTTTTTAGTACTTCTTTACAATTCTTTGACTCACGGCGATGGCTCAAGCCATTGACCCTGGAATTTTCCAGTAGTTTCACTTCTGACCTTCCTCTTTACCCATCTTAGCTTCCATGGTACATCACTAGAATCACTTCCCTGCAGGCACTCAACTCCTGTGTCCCTTCTCCCAGCATCATGGTCACCGCCTGAACCTGCAACCCTATCTAAATCCAGATCTCCACTTATTCCAGACCCGACGTCTAGGAGTTGCATGTGAAAGAAACTAACTGAAGAAAAACACATTATCAAATGATAAGTCTCACTTTAAATTTGTAATCACCAAATTCAAGAGGGCTGGCAATTTTACTACCTTATTGACAAACTGAACTTCATCAAATATTTAAACTTCTTTTCTTTGAAAGACACTGTTAAGAAAATAAAAATAAAGGGTAAAGACAAGAGAAAATATCTTCAAAACACCTATCTGATAAAAGACTTGTATCCAGAATATATAAAGAATTCTCAAAGCTTAATAATAAAAAGAAAATAGGCAACATATTAGGACACTGCACCAAAGAAGATATATTCATGGTCAATGAGCCATGAAGAATGCTTAACATCATTAGTCATCACAGAAATGCACATTAAAAACATAGTGTCCTGAAACCTATAGGTTCATATTAACCATTATCACCTCAATAAATGTAATAAAGTGTTATTTTAAAAAGACCCCAAAAATTAAAATTAAAAATAAACATTAATCCCTTAAAAAAATAAAAATAAAACCATAATGCGCTATTACTATGCAGACCTACAAGAATGGTTAAAATTAAAAATTTTTTAAAAAGCTGAAAATGCCAGGATGCACTGAAACTCTCATAAATTGCTGGTGAAAATGCAAAGTGATACAGCCTTTTGGAAATTTTCAGGAGTCTATGGGGTGCAAAGCAGCTGGTTTCACAGTCGAGCCATATGCTTTTTGCTGGGCCCTGGGAAGAGAAGACTGCTTATGGCATCTTGGTCCACAGGTTAAAGTCGGCTTCTTCAGTGACAGGGGTGTGCAAATGACATTGAGCTAACAGAGGAGATGCTGGCCTTAGCTGAAGATAAACTGGAAGGTTTCCCACTGCTCAGACGTTAGGAACGCCAGCTTTTATAAAACTGCAAGGGGGCCTTGGTGACACCCTAAACCATGGAGGTATTCTCAGGCAGACATCTGGCAAGTCAAGGCCAGGCAGCCGCCTGTAAGAGGCAGGCAAGCGGAAGCGGCCTTAAGGTACAGCCTGCTGCAATTTGATGTGCATTTCAGTTAGAACACACTAGGTGTCCTTACGAGCACGGTGCCCTCAGCTGATAGCAGATTGCCAAGACCCAGGAAGCCGCAGCTAAGGCAAGGATTCAGTTCCAGAAAGTCTTTCCGTGTACATACGCCCTTTCTGGTATTAGGAGGTGAAACTTTTAAAAAGTAAGTCAATTTACATGCTCTTATGCTACTTAGTAGTGAGGCTCTAGCTTTTCTCAGTAGGGCTTACCCAGGTAGGTATCACTATGGGCATCACCCCAAAGCCATCCTGCTTTCAAGGCAGGGAGCAAACCATCCATCAGCTGAACTTGGATTATGTGGCTCTAGGATCATCCCCACCACATGCCCCATTTTGACTGAAAGCCCGCTAAGCCAACGTTTTCAAAATGATACCTAAAGAGAAAATTAACAACATGCGGAAGGCAAAATATTGTGAAACTGACATCACAAACCAGAGTTCGAATTTCAAACAACCAACTAAAAGGAATGGAATTCTTAGGCATACTAAACACTACAAACTTCTAAGATCATTCAGAACTATGCCTTTGGTGACTTTCCAAGCTCTTGTCAGGTTCTCTGGTGCTTTATAAAAGACAATGAGCCCGGCCGGGTGTGGCTCAGCGATTGAGCATCGACCTAGGATCCAGGCGATCGGGGTTCGATTCCCGGTCAGGGCACATGCCCGGGTTGTGGGCTCGATCAATGACTCTCTCATCATTGATGTTTCTATCTCTCTCTCTCTCCCTCTCCTCTCTCTGAAATCAATAAAGATATATTTAAAAAAAAAAAAAGACAATAAATCTTAAAATCCAAAATCTAATTTACTAGCCACGCATACAGACATATGAGTCCTACACCACAGTGATTACTGAATTATAATACCTAAAACCAGAACAGACTGAACATTTCAGATGAACACAGATTTGACAATTCCTTTATTTAAATGAATGAACTCCCAAGATATCACATGGTTGTTTTACACTTGATCCGGTCGGCATGTCCTAGCTCATCTAGAACGTTTCTAATGGTCTCAATGCAGACTTCTCCTCTGTGGTGTTTTTTTGATGCAAGGTTCCATACATTTTCAAATTCTTCATCAGAAAGCTTGACGCCAATGTTACTTAATATCTCTGCAATCTAGAAGAAAACATTGCAAGTCAAGCCAAGATTTGTATGTTTATAAATTTGTATGAATATTTATCAAAAAAAAAAAGGTATGTGGGGGAGAGGGGGGTAATTTGTGTGTGTGTGTGTGTGCTTATTACATAGAATTAGCAAATGTCAAAATTCCAGTACTTTCCCTTCAGGAACAATTTTGTTAAGATGACTATGAGGGTGGTTCAACCCTAACAGCCAACATATAAACTTGCTTCCAATTCTAAGTGTTTCTGGTTATTTTAAAGGAAGGCAGCCAAATTCCAGCAGAAAGAGACTACTTGCTGGATTTGAGTTCCATCTCAGTCAACTTTTTGTCCCCATGATCTTATGTATGTCATGTAAACCCCATGAATGTTTTAGTTTCTCTTTTCGAAAATGAGAACATTTCTAAGACGTCTCTAACTGGCCCGTTGCAAGCTTTAACTATATTGTGGGAGTGCACCTGCCTGAGAGACTGTGCGTGCACAGGCAACTGAGCACACTGAAATCTGAGCATACTGAAAAACAGCACAGTTGGGTTATTAATCATCTCTGCAGTGGTAATTATTAAAACAGATGAAGGGAGAGGAAAAATGTGCTTCTCGTGTCCCAGAGAAAGAATAAGAAAGGAAAGAGAACTGCTAATGAAAAGAAATGTTCGAATGAGTAGTGGGAATAAAAGATTTGAAAAAAACACACGAAACTAAATTTAAAAGAGAAAAAACATTTACTCTAAAGCATACAGGGGGAAAAAAGCAAAGAGGGAAATGAAAGAAAGGTTAGACAGGGAATAGGAAAGCCAAAAAGTAGAATAGCTGCAGAATACATTTATTAAACAGAATCTGAGAACAACAATTAAAAGATCCCCCTTGAAAGGATGTGCCCTGGCGGGAAATAAACAGTATAATCAAATACACTTGAGATTCAGAGGAACGGCTCTACCAGCAGCTGCAGCTATACGGCAAAAACACCTCAAGACCCCAACGCAGAGCTGCTACTTTTCCCCCCACCCAGTGGCAGGTGAAGAACGTCCCTGCAGAGTGAACTCCTGAAGTGGTCGGAGTCTGTCTCCTCGGCTCCCTTGCCGCTCCTCAGGAGGCATTCTCCCTCTTCAGCATTCTGCGTCAGACACAGCCTATGACGAACTAGTAGTACGCTTTTACAGGAACCCTCATCTATTCTCAAGTTAACTCCAACCAGGCGTTTGGTTCTTACTTTTTTCTTTTTAATTTATCTTTATTGTTCAAAGCATTACGTGTGCTCCCTTCCCCCCCCCCATTAACCCCTTCTTCCC